AGTAAAATGTGAGAGGAGAGAGATAAACTAAAGGAAGGGCTGTTAAACAAAAAGGAGCCAGAGTCTGCCAATTTTAAAGATTCCAAGTCTCTTCAGAGAAATGACAAATGATGCTAAAATTAAGAAATGGTTTTCAAGCAAAGATCAAATCCTAGGAAAGCATGATCTAAAGATGAAGCTGGGGGTAAAACGATTTGTTAAGATATCAGAAAGATCGAGTGGTACTCCAGAGTACTGTTCGGTTAGACAAAGGCCCTCTAAAGATACTGAGAGTGTGCCTCCCAGATCCTCGCAATCAAACAACAGTTCTTCTAGGAAGCTTAAGTGAGTTTTCCCTCAGCAGAAGCTCAACGGAAAGGAAAGCTTATCTTGGAGAGATTCATGGGTGTAGCTTTTATATAAACGTGCAGACCCTCAAAAGATTCATAGGAGATCTACCCATTTTTAAGAGAACTGTATCAGTAGAAACACCACTGGCTGAAAGAGACATAGTATAAGCAGAAAATTATTCAGCTATAAATACTTAGCACCTTTCATGAAAAAGAAAGGATGACTCAGGGGGTGGAGCTAAGGGCCAAGGAGACTAACTCCTGGGCAGGAGCAGGACTGAGTCCTAATTAAGGGACTTCTAATACTTTTCCAGGTGGATTTCAGAACTGCCATTGGCCAATGACTCCTGTGTGTCTCTGTAGTGCTCCCTTTTTGAACAGGAGTATCTATGGCAGTTAATCTCTGCCTGTCCCACCATTTAAATTGGGTATGTGTGGGTAAATAACTTTATCTTTAGTTCAATAGCTGCAGATCAAGAGAAACTGTACTTGAAGAACTGTATTTAAGAAACTATCCCTGAGGAGCCTCATCTGAATATGGACCTGATATAAATGATGAGATTCTGGATTTTGAGCTAATACCACAATGGGATAGGATTTTGGAGGGCCTAGGATGAGGTGGGAGTATTTTGTACATGGGAGAGATGTGAATCATTGGGGGCTAGAGGGCAGACTGTGGTAACCAGTCTCCAAGATGGCCCGAATGATCTCTCCTTCTGGTATTCACAACCTGCATAGTCTCCTTCCACAAGACCAACAAAATAAAGCAGAAGTAATGGTATGCCACTTCTGAGATGAGGTTATTAAAGACTGTGCCTTCCATTTTGCACTGTCTCTCTTGGATCACTTGCTCTGGGGGAATCTGTCACCTCATGAGCATCTCTATGAAGAGGCTCATGTGGTGAAGAGCCAAAGCCTACCAAAAAATACGTGAGTGAGCTTGGAAGTGGATCCACCAGCTCCAGTCAAGCATTATTGGCTGACAGCTTCTATAAAATTGTGGCAGGCCCTGATAGTTTGAAAGTATGGTAAGATCTCAGACACTTCACAGTTCTTGATAAGTGATAGATAGAGACAACGGCACACCTAGGATAACATTATAAAGTTGTATAAGTGCAGAAAAGTAAGCATGAGAGATAACCCATTTCATAAATCTGAACTTGATTTAAAGAAAATTATATTTATTGTTTATTCTGTAATAGGGAATTTATTAGATGTTACTTCTCTTAATATTCATATTAGACCTATGACATAGATGCTATTTTCCCAAATTTACAGATTAAATGAGTTAATATATGTGAAATAATATGTATGAAAAATCTGTACTTAATCGAACTTCCATTTTCAGAGTGAGAGAAGCATGCCGGGAAAATTAATTTCTACCTTAACCCAGAACTTATAAGAGGTTGTTGATCGTGCCGGAAACGAGCATCATGTCTTACATACGGACAGTATTTAATGGTAACTATCGAGCAAGCCCAAGCCTTCAGATTATTCCACTGTTGTTGACTGTGCTGTGTCCATGGCACAGACTGACACGTTGTGCCATAGTCTACACAAGGCTGGTTTTGGAGAGTTGTGACTACACAGCACCAGCATCATCTGGACACACTCATTCCTCCTCAGGTTTTCTTCTGTGACTTGCCCAGTGAGTCACTGCTACAGTACCAGTCCCACAAGTTCCTTGTTCCAGAGAGTTTGCTAACATATTTTCCAACGTTCCGAAAAGTCCAATTGCTAAAATAACCACATTTTCCTAAATACTTTGCCAGTTATTCCATTGGGTAAGTGATGCCTAGAAGAGCTAGCTACACTAAGGTGTCACCACTGCGTACGTTAAATCCCAGTGAGCCGTCTCTCCCGTATCCGCCTTTTACCAAATTAGTGTTACTCATGTTCACTTTTATATTCCAAGAAAAATAAAAGAAAATATCTCAATCATGGAAATTCTGTAGCTTGAAGTGTATTGAGTAATTTTTCCTCTTATTAATAAGTCAGTGGTTTTCAACCTGAGGGGGCACCATGATGGACCACATCAAAGTCTTCTGTGGGACTTTCCACACTACACATAGTTCGCCCCATCTACTCTCTTCCCAGATTCTGGCATACCCTTCAAGTTTTGAAATATCTCACAGGTAATTCTGAAATGCTTCCCCTTTCCAGCTCCCAAAACCAAACCAAAAAATCCCAAACCCATTGCTGTCAAACTGATTTCCACTCACGGAGACCCCATGTGCTGCAGAATAGAACTAAGCTCCATAGGGTTTTCTTGGCTGCAACATTTCAGAAGCAAATTACCAGGCCTTTCTTCTGCGGAACTGCTGTGTGGGTTCGAACTGACAACCTTAGGGTAGCAGTCCGGCACAAACAGTTTGCAATACCAAAGGACCTCCCCACAAACCAGTTGAGAACTAATGAGAGAAATCTTGATCCTGGATAGGTGATATTCAATTTCTTTTCAGAAAGAAGTTAAAAATTCTTCTTAGGTGCCCTGTATTCATTTTAGGTAGTTGTAACCAGGCAAAAGGGTGTATCTATTTAGCAGACATACCCACAGTTATTAAGAAAATGCGAAGTTATAAAAAATAACTTAAGCTACTGAATGCTTTGGTTTAGGCATATCGAATGCCCTTTCTACTAAAAATAAGTTCTACCTTTCTTGTTTCCTTCATATCAGAGGTTGGCACATTTTTTCAGTGAAGAGCTAGAGAGTAAATATTTTGGCTTTACAGGCCGTTCAGTCTCTGTTGCAACTACTCAACTCTACTGCTGTAGCACAGGAACAGCCATAGCCAGTACATAAACGAATGGGTGTGGTTGTGTTCAATAAAATTTTATCTACAAAAATAGGCAGTAGGCCAGATTTGGCCTGCTGCAGGCCATTGTTTGCTGACTCCTGCTTTATAGCATAAAGAAAGGCTAATGCCTTCTTATTTATGGGCAACTCCAGATGATTTACATGACTGTAGTTTACCCAAGCGTTCTGGGAAGCTTCCCTTACTTTCTGACTCTCTTCCTGCTGTGCTGTGAGCATTGTCTACTTTCCATCTTTCTCCTGATGATCTCTGGTCTGCTTCTAAAACACCAAGCCCTGGTGAGAGAAGTCACTTGATTCTGAATTGCACGACTCACATGGGTGCCATTTAAACCCTTCGCAGCTGTGGTTCATTCTCAATGACTTAAGATCTCTTCCCCAACTTAGAACTGGACTGTTACTTTAGTAAGGCCAGACTCTTTCATTTGAACTCTTCACAACGACAGAATACAATACAACAGGTGCTAAACAAGCTTACGTAGCTATCTTTCACAGGGGCAACTTGGATGTTAGAAGGTCCACAGCCCTTTAATGCATAACTCACCTGGACACACACAGTTGCATCTGATACCCTGCTGGATGAAGTCTGCAGCCAGGGACTTTGTGAGGCCAATCACGGCAGCCTTGGATGTGCTGTACACACATCTGTTCACAACTCCTGGGGGTAAGGACAAGGCTCAGCAATTGGAGGAATGAACAAGGTCTTTAGAAAGGGAACACCAGTTTAGTGTCTACAGGAGCCATTTTCATGTCTTCTCCACCCCCTTTTTAAGGGCCCATTTCTGAATCTGGGAAAATGATATCAATATTGGCATAACTCACTGGAGACTCATGTGTTGACGTGCTCATTGTTGTTAGGTGCTGCAGACTCACAGCGACCCCATGTGACAGAGCAAAACTGCCCCATAGGATTTTCTCGGCTGTAATGTTTATGGGAGCAGATTGCTAGGACTCTCTCCCACGGAACCCCTGGGTAGGTTCAAATTGCTAACCTTTGGGTTAGCAGCTGAACCTTAACTGTTGCGCCAATTGAGGTGCTGCCACTTATTTAAAGCAGTAGTCTTATTTTTCATCATAGGTTTGTATAACACTTAGGCAGACTCCCAAAGAAAACAAGGGTAAACAGAAACAAAATAAAAAGCAAAACAGCACGTGATCAAGGCTCTTGTTTTCATGCCTGCGATACGCACACTTGATGTGTGTACCCTCGCAAAGAGGAGGAAGCTTACCTCGGTGGTAGCTATCTCACTGTAAACTAGGCACAGACCCATCTGGGTGCAACTCTGACATGATCTCCATTTTGCACCGTCATCCTAGCCGTTCACCTTGACTTCTCATTCAGGGCCCAGTTCAGTTGTCTTCGTGAAGCATTCCCCAAACCCACAGGCAGGGTTACCTCCGTTGTACTTTCGACACACTTTATAAAAACTTGTATTGTAATACTCTCACACGTAGAAGATACTTGTTTATCTGTCTCTTGCCTTTTGGACTGTACGTTTTTTAGGGGGCCAGGGGCACATACTGGGTGCTCACTATATCTTTTTTGATTAATTAAATGGATAAATGCTTCCTTCACCCAGTTCAATTTTCATTTCCATATCCATTAGAAGGAATAGATGGGAAGGCAAAGAAAACACAATTTTTTATTTAATTTTATGAATAATATATGTATATGAATGATTCACATCTAAGGCAAAAGGTCTGATAATTAAGGAACTTAACACATTTTTTTTAAAAAGAAGTTTTGAAATTATGTATGGGTTTCATGATCTCTGCTATGCCTGTTCCCAAAACCCATGGTGCATGAAGGCATTTTGAGTATCAGCATTATGTTCCACCAAGGAAGACAGACCTACCTTTGATGCTGGAAGCCACAGAGGACATATTGATAATGTTGCCAGATTTCTGAGCAAGCATCTGCCAAAATAAATAAATATAAAAAAAAATTTCTTTCTGCAGGTTAAAAAAACTGCTGTTGCTGTTCGGTGCTGTCAAGTTGATTTAGACGCATAGCAATCCCATGTGATAGAGTAGAACTGCCTCGTAGTGTTTTCTAGGATGTTATCTTTACAGAAGCAGATCACCAGGTCTTTCTTCGGTGGAGCTACTGGGTGGGTTCAAACCACCAACCTTTTGGTTAGCAGCCAAGTGCATAACCATTGCACCACCAGATCAATGAAGGCTAAATTTAGGACTAGGGTTTTATCCTAAAGGCAATGCAGTGACTTTGAAGGGTTTATAGCAGAGGCGTGGCATGTTTAGATTTGAGGATTACAAAGGTCACTCTGATCCATGCTGAGAAGGAGACCAGTCCTGATGCAGTGATTTAGAGAAGGAGTGATAAAGGTATCAACCAGGACAGAGACAGCAGAAATGTCTGTGTAACAGAGGTGGAGACAGAGTTGAGGTAGGTTGAGCAGGACTTGGTAAATGGTTACATGAGATGGGGATGTGCCTAACCCATCTAGACAGTGTTTCCTAAGAACACCTCCTTCAGAATTCCCTCATAAGGATGTGAACTTCTTAAAAGCAGGGTCTTTGGCTGTTTTGTCCACTGTTGGATCTCCAGCACCTAGACAGGGTAGATGGTATGAATGTCTGATGAATAAGAATCTCTAGAATTGTAGTTTAAAATGCAGATACTGGGTCCTATCCCAGATGGATACATAATGAAAAAAGTTACTGTGGTTCAAGGATGTTTTAAAATGAGCTTTTACTTCATTAATTATAACATGTATGTCTGCTTGTCAAATAATATATTTTATGCAAAGGCATGTGCACACAATAATTGTACAAAGGAGAAGAGAATCTAAAATAACCCTAAGGCATTGGGTTAGATGGACTGAAAGGATACACAGAGGGGCTGAGGTGGCCAACCAAGTCAAGGAAGGCAGCAGGGGAGAAAATAATATTTAACTCAACTGTGTTTTTGTACATACAGGCAGTCCCCAGGTTATGAAAGAGATCCGTTCCTAAGTGTGTCTTTAAGTTGAATTTGTAGGTTAAGTTGGAACAATTACATACGGTTCTTATCTAGCATCAGTTAGTCAAATGCTTGTCTTAGTATATATTTTACCTTTCTATGCATATAAAACACTTAAGAAACACTTCCAAACTGCACACTGTTTTCATGAGCATCACAAAGTAGTCCATGTGTTTGTTATTATGAACCACTGTATTTAACTCAAATTTTCAATGTGATAGGTTTTATGGCAGTTTGTTCTTAAGTATGAGTTGTCTGTAAGTCAGATGTTCACAACCTGGGGACTGCTGATAATAAAGGCAATCATAATAAAATGGGATCCTAATAAAATAGATGAGGAAAATACAATGGTGTTTAAAATTAAAACTAAGCCTTAAAATTATTCTTTCTCATTCCATCTAACAAATGGCATAACCCATTTTTTATACATACAGAATACATCAAAGCCAATTTAATATTTAAAGATTGATCTTCAGTCTTCTAAAATGCAACAACTCCTTAGACAAGGCCTTAGAATATAGTCACCTAGGAGATGCTAGTAGTGCCTCTTAACACTTGTACTCTCCATTCAACCCGGGTCCATCTGCTGATTCTAGAGCCCACAGTCCTTGCTCCCCATCCATGCTGCCTTTCCAACATCAGCTCAGTACCTAATGTCACAGTGTAATGCTCTCACTGGCTCCCCATGCAACAGCCCTCTCTGGCAAGTATGATTAAGTGCGAGATCGATCCCCCAGAAACTCAGGGCTTAACCCCAACCCTAAGTGGGGTCTAGGAAGAGCTCTGTAGAGTCCCTCTAGATATATCTAGTTATTCCTACTTTGACACAGTTCTTCTGTCCCCATTGACTTGGTTCTCCAGTGATCCCATGCCTGGCCTCTATCTGGATTGACACTCTAGACTTGTTTATTCAACAAATGTTTGCTGAGCTCCTCTATGAGCTAGGGACCCTTCTAAGTCCTGGGAATACAGCAAAAAAAAAAAAAAAAAAGACAATCCCAAATCCTTTCCCTAATGGATCATCTCTTCTAGTGAGCCTTAGATTCTGCGTTGACCTCTTCTTACAGTATTTTCAACCTGTTCTATGCCTTTCGACTGGTCTTCCAGTCTTGGAATGGTTTTCTGTGTATCTATCCATGAACAAAAATTTCCTACAAGTGTTCCTATGTTTTGACCACCTGACCTTTCAGATCTGCCCAGACTCCAAATCCTGGCTTCCCCTGGAAAGTTCCAACCTGGCATCTGTGCATCATGGTTAACGAGTCAGAGGATACTAAACGGTCAGGGCTTAAAGGGATTGTGTAATCTATCACCCTCATTTTTAGATGAAGAAACAGACACTAAGAGAGCATAAGTGGCATCTCTGAGGGCACAAGGTGAATTAGGGCCAGAGATTGAGATCCGGAGTCAGGCTGGTCAGAGTCATGTCTAACAAGTGGTACTGACTCCTTGTGTTTGATTCCCCATCCCAGCCATTAACATCTCTTGGGATTTTTTTTATAAATGACCGTTACTGGCTCACATGGATTACTGTTAAGGTGTTTTAAAATCATAGGCAAACTCACTCGTTTGTAAATTAGTGTTTGATATTTTAAAAGTTAACACTTACTTACAAGTCTGCATGTCAGCTCCTCTGTACCCTACACCTGCTTCTTTAACTGATCACTGAGAAGCACTGCTAAAATGAAGTAGCTGGTTTTGCAAATGAGTCTCATACACATGGAATAATCGTACCACTCCCGTGACCAAAGCTTTCCCCTTTCCCCACAGCCTCTGCTCCTCCCACATAGCACAAGCTAAGGATCTGCCTTCAAAGAACACATCCAAGTTCCAGATAACATAGATTCACAGGAACTCAAATAGGCAAACAGGCAATTTATATTCTTAAAATCTTGCTTGCTTGACACTTAGTGGGCCCACATAAAGATCCCTTCTAGGCACTAAACTAATAGATTAAAAAAGGAAAAAAAAAAAATCCTCATAGCTAACTAAGCCAAATTAATAGATTTAAAAAGAAAAAAAATCCTCATAGCTGACTAAGGTAATTTCTCTAGTTTTCCTGCTAATGTCCATCTGAACCCTTACAAACCTTAGTTTGAAAGTTCAGAGGGAAGTATAAGTCTGGCTGTACCATTAACAAAGCTATCCTCCTGCCCTGGGCTGGACCCTCAGTCTTCTAAACCAGCCGAGACAGAGGCGGAAAATGGCTCTTCTGCATTTCACCAGGGCTCTAGTTTACAACTTCAGCGGTACTAAGTCAACCCCTTTCACTGTGTGAGCCCGTGGTGTCTGCCCCCACTGGCTCATAAACTCGCTTGAAGTCAGGGCTGTGTGTTTCTCATATTTATATCTCCCAGAGCACCAAAACCCCAAAAAAATCCAAACCTACTGCTGTCGAGTTGATTCTGACTCACAGTGACCCTATAGGACAGAGTAGAACTGCCCCATAGGTTTTCCAAGGATGTAAATCTTTACAGAAGCAGACTGCCACATCTTTCTCCTGCAAAGTAGCTGGTGGGTTCAACTGTTAACCTTTTGGTTAGCAGCTGAGTGCTTTAATGCCCTGTGCCACCAGGGCTCCTTTTCCCAGAGCACCTAGTATACTGATTTACACCCAAAGGTGCTTAATGTTTGTCTGTAAAATAAAATTAAAAGCACTGATGAGTTGTTGTGTGAAGATTGGAAAATTTAAGGGGTACTGTGGTAGAATCCTCACCTTTCATGCGGGAGACCCAGGTTCGATTCCCAGCCAATGCACTTCATGCACACTCACCACCTGTCTGTCGGTGGAGGCTTGTGTGTTACTATGATGCTGAACAGGTTTCAGTGGAGCTTCCAGAATAAGACCAAGCAGGAAGAAAGGCCTGGCCATCTACGTCTGAAAATCAGTCAATGAAAACCCTGTGGATCACATGGTCTAATCCACTACCATTCAAGGAGATGGCACAGGACTGGCAGTATTTCGCTGTGTTGTACGTGGGGTTGCCATGAGTTGAGGACCAACTTGAAAGTAGCTAACACAACAACAATAAAAACAACAAGCTCAGGAGGAATGCCTTCTCTCGCATACACTGCCCCTCGCCTTTCCAGTACCTCTGTGGCTCAGCTAAACACAGGAGCGAGAGAGAATATTCAGGGTAGACAGCTGCAATGGAGTATACACATCTTGGTGTTTGCCTAGATACGGACATTGAAGAAAGTACTAAACTTCCAGGGTTCCAATCCTGGCTCTCACCACCTGCTAGTTATATCACCTGGGAAGACAACTAAGCTTTCAGTTTCATCTTCTGTAAAGTGGAGGGGATAACAGAGCACCAACCTTAGAGAACTGTGCCAGTCCCTATGCCTGGAAGTCTCTCCCCAGATACCTGAATGGTTAGTTTCCTCACTTCATTCAGATCTCTGTGAAGAGCTCACCTGACCAGAAAAGCTCTCCTGAACCTCACTAATATCCTAGCTTATTTTCCTTCATAGTATTCATAACCTCCCCACATATTATATATTTATTTGATTACTTATTATGCTGTCTCACCCCTCAGTAATGTAATCTCCCTTATAGAAGGGACTTCGTTTACTTCACTGATGTCTTCTGTGCCTAAAACACAGTCTGGCACATAGGAACTATGCAATAAATATTCCTCAAATGGATGAATGTTGTTGTTGTGGGCTGTCCAGTTGATTCTGAGTCATAGCGACCCCAGAGGACAGAGTAGAACTGCCCCATAGGGCTTTCTAGGCTGCAATCTTTATGGGAGCAGGTTATCAGGTCTTTTCTCCTGCGGAACAGCTGGGTAGGTTTGAATCACCAACCCTTCAGTTAGCAGCTGAGCGCTTAATCATAAATGAGTTAATTTATATAAAATGCCATGACATAAATGTTCCATCTATGTTAGTCAATATGTCAGCTATTACCACTCTACAGCACATGTGGGGACGCTTTCTGGGTGCTCAGTATGGAGATCTAAGGTAGTGCTTCTCCTAGTGGTGAAGGTCATCTTACTTTAGGAAGGAATGCTTTGATCATCAGGTACATGCTGCGGACATTAAGATTCATGGTGAAGTCCCAATCTTTCTCGTCACAGTCCAGGATGGTTCCATGATGGACAAAACTGGAAAGGATTCAACAGTGGGGGAAAAAATGATCACTTAACAAATTTCTGTTACATGTCCTTATCATATTTATTGTCTTTTATTGATTTAGACAATTGTTCCTTTCTCTTACCAAGACTTTTAACAATTCAAGCACAGTACTACTTAGGATATTAGGTCTGTAGTTATCCCAACAACTTAAGCTAGAAAAATGTTGTTATCTGAAAACATCTTTCTTTTACAAAAGGAAGGTAAGAATTTGGGGTAACCAAATTCTATACAAAGGGCAGTAGAAACATCAATGCCATTGAAAACAAATAAGAAATCAATGAGAAGGTGGCACCTGCTCTATGTGACTCCCATTTCAAGAGCAGCAGTGCCCCTAGGTGGCACAGATTTGACATTCTAAAGCGAAATCTAAATAGCAAGGAAAACAAGTGTCTCAACAACTCAGGGTAGCACAGTAATGTTGCTACTGTATACGCAGTTCTAACAGCTTCAGTGAACAAATCAGAACTAAACAAAACCCTCTTTTTCAGGTCATACTTCCTCAAGAAAAGGTTCTAAACACTTGAGTCCTTATTGATGTCCTCTGGACCAAAGTTATATAATTAATGAAACACTATTTCCAGCAGCGTTTTACAAGAAGCAAAGTACTCAGTTTAATGAAATGCAGATGTTCCCAATTTTTGGCACAGCAATACTAGCAGGTCCTTTATCTTTCCCAAGCTCAGTGTTTTTTACTGGGGTAGTAAATCCCAGCAAAAGAAGTTTCCATACTGCACCTTCCATATTGCACCTTTATATACAGAAAAAAGAATGACTTAATTGAACTTGCTGACTCCCACGTGAATGATCAGAGATGGAACCGGAGCAGTTACAGGTAGACACAGGCCAACTGCTAGTATTTACTGTCCCTCTCAGGTGTGACAGTAGCAATGAGCAGAACTGAGACTTACAAAGAACTAATTATGTACTCTCTCATGTGCCACTTTTCTTATGTAGTGTGACCTCTCTACTGCTGCACTGATTAAAAACAAATCTAGAGACTTCGAATACATTTTTGTGCTTCTTCCTAACCATGTTAAAGAAAAAAAAAATCAGTCTATCCATAGTTTATCATGTGTTACAATGTATGGAAATTAAAGCAATAATTTGTGATGATCTATTTTATAAATAATCTGCTCATCCCTCATATAAGGAGTCCCTGCCTGGTGCAAATGGTTAACACGCTTGACTGCTAACTGAAAGATTGGTGGTCTGAGTCCACCCAAAGCTTAGGAAAACCTATGGGGCAGTTCCACTCTGGCCTATAGGGTCGCTACGAGTCGGAATTGACTGGACAGCACACAACAACAGGGGTCCATCAGCGAAGGTCTGTTTGCAGTGATCACGTTACCCGCCTTAAGAAGATCAACGGCTTTGTACTACTACTAGCTGTCTTGAATAGACCTTTAGGCACTAAGCCTGTGCCAATTTCTATGGCCATCTCACTTGCTCAATCTTACGTGTAATAAAAATGCTGTCGGAAATCTAGTCATATTTCCAAGGAATTTATTACGGTTCACAATGAATAACTTTGCCACAATCTCAAAATACTTTTAATAAAAGTCATAAAAAACTTTCTATAAGAAAGTGAAATTAAAATGTTATGAATTACCCAGCAACGTTAAAGAGAACATCAAGTCTTTCAACTTCATTGGCGAACTCATCAATTTGTTTCTTCTTTGTGACATCAAGAACACGAGTTTGAATACCTGAAAAATAGAATAAAAGACATGATCTACCCAGACCCAGAAGGTCCAGCATTGAAGATTTTGGCTATTTTGAAGTGTGAAGATTGCAATATCTGTCCAGTTCATCTTCATAGGATTGTTGATCCTTACTAGGGTGATATGCATCCACCTTGGAGTCTCTGGGTGGTGCAAACATTTAAATGTTCAGCTACTAACCAAAAGGTTGGAGGTTCGAGTCTACCCAGAGGCACCTAGAAGAAAGACCTGGTGATCTACTTCCTGTTGAACACCCTATAGAGTACAGTTCTACTCTGAAATACATGGGGTCACCATGAGTTAGAATTGACTTGATGGTTAACTATTTTTTTTTTTTTAATGCAGCCATCTTAAGAATCTTTAAGAATGAAAGTGAACAGAATAAAAATCTTAAAATCCTCCCAAACTTGACCTTCAGTACCTCTCTCTCTCTTTTTTATTCTCTCTTTCCTCTGAAGTGAATCATCAGGGTCTTGTCGAGTAACGACTTTACAGTGAAGAACGGATAATCAATATTACATGCTTCTCTGTAACCCGCAGTAAAAACTGAAATTGGGCTCCTTTTAGCCCATTTTTCCTCCCAAGACTGAGTCACAGGTACAGTCATGCTGAATTACATCTCTGTGAGGGGCGGCAGAGAGGTGAGGACGTGAAGGGGTGGAGGTGGGGGGGTGACGGGACAAGAGATCGTTTCTAACTGTGAGCTTTACCTTTATGCCATTTTCATTATTAGAAATGACTCTGTTGGCCAGGGGTATCATCACTTATTTCTGGACTAAATGCAAAGAGAAGAAATGAGGGGACCAGAAGAAGAGATGAAACACTTGAAGGTGGACATGAGGGATCTGGTGCAGGGTCTGAGAGATACATCCGGTGTGAGTTACTAAAGAAAATCCAATATTCTGTAATGAAAGCAGCAATTGTTATTTTTATATTAAAAAATTATGGTTTATGTTATTTCCTCTTTGGATGTAAGAAAGAAGATTAATAAACAAAGAAGGGAAAGCTGAAAGTGAGTTTCTGAAAGGCTCCTTTTCCTTTGTACTATTCCAGTAGAATAGCTTTACTGTGCCTTGTTGGAATTACAATTCAGCATAGTCTAATTCAATGAATGAATTCAATGACCTAATTTGTGTTTGATCATATAACCTATTCTATTTTGCTGGAACAGCTCACTTTCACATGAGTTCTCTATTCTGATTTCTTTTCAGGCAACTCTCATTGAAGCCCCTTGATAGTGGCATGTGCAGGGCTGTGTTGTGAGGGTGATGAATGAGGGCTCTGTGGACAGGCCTCTAAGAGCTGTTGTTTGAAGGGTTAACTAGAGTCTTACCCTTCTCTATTGTCAGTTTAAGACTTTCCACTAACTATTTTCCTAAGGACAAGTTCCAGGTTGTTCACAACCACAGAAAATACAACCAGAAGCCTTTGGAAGCCGTCCTGGACACTGCCTGCTCTCTCATCTACCAAATCCCATCCACTCATTTTTGTCACAGAGATTTACTCAGGACCCGCTATGTGTAAGGCAAGGGGCCCTGTGGTGCAGTGGTTAAGCCTTTGACTGCTTACCAAAAGGTCAGCAGTTCAAATCCACGAGTTGCTCCTTAGAAACCCTATGGGGCAGTTCTACTCTGTCCTATAGGGTCACTAGGAGTTGGAATCAACTCGATGGCAATGGGTTTGGGTTTTTTTGGATGTGTAAGGCAAGGACCTCCGGTGGCACAGCGGTTAAGTGCTCGGCTACTAACCAAAAGGTCAGTGGTTCAAACCCACTAGCTGCTCTGTGGGAGAAAGATGTGGCAGTCTACAGTCTGCTTCTGTAAAGATTATAGCTTTGGAAACCCTATAGCACAGTTCTACTCTGTCCTGTAGGGTCACTATGAGTCTAAATTGATTCCACAGCAACAAGTTTGATTTTAGTTTATGTGCAAGCAATCACTCTCCTAGGGCTGACATTCTCGTGGGTGGAATCCTTTATTAAGTCCTGCTGATTTCCGTGACTGTCTTCTTGAACCCGTCCACTTTTCTTTCATGTCTACTATCTTATTTCAAACAAGGGATATCATTGCTGATGTCAGACGGATCCTGGCTGAAAGCAGAGAATACCAGAAAGATGTTTACCTGTGTTTTACTGACTGTGCTAAGGTATTCGACTGTGTGGATCATAACAAATTATGGGTAACATTGCAAAGAATGGGAACTCCGGAACACTTAATTGTGCTCATGAGGAACCTGTACATAAACCAAGAGGCAGTCGTCCAAACAGAGCAAGGGGATACTGCATGGTTTAAAGTCAGGAAAGGTGTGCGTCAGGGTTGTATCCTTTCACCATACTAAATTCAATCTGTATGCTGAGCAAATAATCTGAGAAGCTGGACTATATGAATAAGAAAGCAGTATCAGGATTGGAAGAAGACTCATTAACAACCTGCAATACGCAGATGACACAACCTTGCTTGCTGAAGTGACGAGGACTTGAAGCACTTACTGAAGAAGATCAAAGACCACGGCCTTCAATATGGATTACACCTCAACATAAAGAAAACAAAAATCCTTACTACTGGACCAATAAGCAACATCATGATAAATGGAGAAAAGATTGAGGTTGTAAAGGATTTCATTTTACTTGGATGCACAATCAACGCCCATGGCAGCAGCAGTCAAGAAATCAAATGACCCATTGCACTGGGCAAATCTGCCACAAAGGACTTCTTTAAAGTGTTAAAAAGCAAAGACATCACTTTAAGGACTAAGGTACACCTAACTCAAGCCATGGTATTTTCAATAGCCTCATATGCACGCAAAAGCTGGGAGGATGAATACAGAAGACCGAAGAATTGACGCCTTTGAATTGTGGTGTTGGCGAAGAATATTGAATATACCATGGACTGCCAAAAGAACAAGCAAATCTGTCTTGGAAGAAGTACAGCCAGAATGCTCATTAGAAGCGAGGATGGTGCAACTTCATCTCATATACTTTGGACATGTTATCAGGAGGGACCAGTCCCTGGAGAAGGACATCATGCTCGGTAGAGTAGAGGGTCAGCGAAAAAGATGAAGACCCTCAAAGAGATGGACTGACATAGTGGCTGCAACAATGGGCTCAAGCATAACAATGATTGTGAGGACGGTGCAGGACCAGGCAGTGTTTCGTTCTGTTGTAGTTCTGTTGTACCTAGGGTCACTATGAGTCAGAACCGATTTGACGGCACCTAACAACAACAATCTTATTTCAAACCTGACTACTGCTAACGGAACCAAACCAAGCCAAACCCATTGCCGTTGAGTCGATTCCAAGGAGTGACCGGCGGATTCAAACTGCTGACCTTTTGGTTAGCAGCCGAACTCTTAACCACTGTGCCATCACTGTTCCAGATTAGTTGGTCTTAGGGTCTGGCCCCTCCAATCCACCATTCACAGCTACAGTGGTGATTTTTTCAAATTCAAATCCGATGATTCTCAACCTCCTGCCACCACAGCAACTTGTATCTCTTCTTCACATACATAAATACAGTTGTGGTTTTGTTTGTTTTTGTCCCTACTGTCTCTCTAACATAAAGTCTGATACATAGTAGACAACCAGTAAATATTTATTGAATAAACTGAATAAAAACCCAACAAAATTCTGTATTATCAAGAGTTCCTACCTCAGTCTAGAGCCATGTTAAATAGAGCAGATTTGAACACACCTAAATAATTTGGATAATCTCTTAGGGTTTCTGATCATGAGATTTGATCTTTAGGGCTGGATTTTCTCCAGTATGGTAGCACTAGCCACATGGGGCCAGTTAGCACTTGAAATGTGGCTAGTCTCAACTGAGATGTGCTGTATGTGTAAAATACATATGGATTTCAAAGATTCGGTATGAAAAAGAATGTAAAATATTTCACTAAAAATTTTTTATATTGATTACATGTTGAGATGATAATTCTTAGATGTGTTGGGTTAAGTAAAATACATTATTAGAATTAATTTCACCTGCTTCTTTTTACTTTTTTTTTTTTTTAATAATGTGGCTATTTAAGAAAACTTAAAATTACATGTGGGTTTGTATCACATTTCTATTGGGCAGCACTGCCCTACAGGGGGAGGAGAGAAGACAGAAGTGAAAAGTTATCATCAAAAGTTAATGTAATGCTTCTTCTACCCTGAGATCAGAAGTACTAGATGGTGTCTGGTTACCACTACTGACCATTCTAATCAGGGCCACAACAGATGGACCCTGATAAAATGGGAAAAAATTTGGAACAAATCCTTAAACTCCTAAAAACAAAAACAAAAAACAGACCTACTGGGCTGGTTGAGACTGGAGGACTCCCAGGACTATTGCCCTGAGCTACTCTTCAAACCTTGAGTGGAAACTAACCCCTGAGGCCATCTTGTAGCTAAATAACAAGTTGGCTCAAAAAATAATGACTACCACCCATAAGTACTGTGTGCCTTTAAAAAATCACCTATATGAGACCAAATGGTCAACAATTACTTTAAAATAAAGATGAGAATGAAGGGAGCAGGGAAATTAGATTAACGGAAACAGAACAACCAGAATGAAACAATGAGAACGTTCACGTATTGTGTAGAACGTAAGCCATGTCACTGAACAACTTGTGAAGAATTGCTCAATGGGAACCTAAACCACTGTGCAAACATTCACCAAAGACACAATATTTAAAAAAAAAAACAGTTAATGTAACAGTTGTTAAATATTCACATAGAACTTTGTGACTAAGCACTGAATCCCTCAATATGTAGGCTAAATAAAACCTTTATATGTTTGTGATTTTAGTCTGTTGGTTCACAGAATAGAGATTTGATATCAGAGAGTCAGGATGTAAAAAGAAGACCAGTAGAGGTGAACAGCTAAGGAATGTTCTCTCATCCAAGTTCAAGCTGCTGAATTGCTTACCCGGGTACTTTTCCAGCTCCTGAAGTTTGGACTCATTGATATCTGTGGCTATGACTCTGGCACCTTCTCTTGCAAACGCCTGGAGAATACAATGCACAAATAAATCCTTTGTCTACTCGGTTAAGCTGCTTCCATAAAAGGAAAGTCAACTGGCCCTCTTCCCTTTCATCTTGTTTCCATTGTTGTTTTCCCTAAAAAATAGGTGAGGTCTCACACTATCTGGTCTCACCCAACACCACTCTTGTTATTATTTTTATTTAATTTTATCATTAATTAGAACCACGTGATGTACATTGTCCATTTAAGTCACATCAAATAAGATAGGGCTTTTAAAACAAGGATTCTTTTATTAACACCTCTCAAAATACTGCAGTTGTGTGATTTGATAGCCTGTCTTCCATTTCTGAGCAGGTGACTGAAGTCTAAATAATAAGAGAAAAATGGGTTATTTCACACTTATCCTCCTAAGAGTATTCCAGTGCTTTCATGAACACCCTGCCACTATACTGAAGGTACATAATTAGCTCAGGTATGTGTTTGTGGGTATAATGTGGGAGAAGATGTAAATTAGAAGGCAACAGTAAACTGACAGTCTTATAACTCTGAGGTCCTGTATCTGAATGGACGTCTTTCAGAATGTTATTTATATCCTTGTAAGGATTCTAGTGGTGCAAAGGTTAAGTGCTTGGCTGATGAATGAAAAGGTTGGTGGTTTGAACCCACCCAGCGGCTCTGTGTGAGAAAAGACCTGGTAATCTGCTTCCACAAAGATTACAGCCAAGAAAACCCTATGAGACAGTTTTTCTCCATCTCATGGGGTCGCTGTGAGTCAGAATCGACTCAATGACACACAACAACATCTCCTTGTAGGCCCCTTGCAGTTGATTTATTATGGTGCAGAAACCGAGGCAGAGAAATCCGTTTCTCAGAATCAACGGTCATCAGTGATGTCACATAGGAAACTTCATCAGCTTGGGCTCAGAGACAGTAACTTTTTTTTTTTTGATAAGACAACAGCAGCACAAAGTCAACAGAAAGAGTGGAGGGGGATTAAATAACAGTGGCATCATTCCACATAATTCAATACCTCAAAAGGTAGTAAGCAAACAACAAAAGATACTAACTTACCAAGGCGGCTGCCCGGCCGATGCCCTGAGCAGCAGCCGTCAGGATGATGACCTTGCCGTCAAGTCGACCCATAATGCAACCTGCGGTTTAAATCAAAGGCACATGCCTTTTTCTTTTTTAACTGTGGTGAAAATATACATAACAAAGCATATGCTAACTCAACAATTTCTAGACGTACAATTCAATGACATTGACTGCATTCTTCAAGTTGTGCAACTATTCTTGCTGTCTTTTTCCAAATCATTCCCCCTAAAGGCATGTGCGTTTAATGGGCAACACTAGCACACGCGTAGGCACTAACATCTAGAAAGAGCAGCTCAAGGCGCTTCTTGGCGAACTTCACGGCACCTTTGTACAAACAGTCCCACCATCTGAACTCTCCAAGAATGCTTCCTCTACATACCTGTCTTTAGATTTCAAAAACATTTAGAACAAGCCACTGAGGTGATAACTGGCAACACGCACACACAGGACTTTGACCTACCTTTCAGTTCCTTCAGTACCCAGCGACCACAGCCTCTGATGCTGAGGCTGCAGGGGTGAAACGCTTTCCCTCACTGCCATCACCGCCCTCCTCCCCACCGCCCCTGCACACACTGTTGTTGTATTGTTTGTGTCCTTAAAACTCGGGACTGCTTCTCTCTGTCTCTCCTGGAAGATTTTGGTGAGGTTTGCACTATCAATAGCGTATGGCTTTCCCCTGTGCTTTTCAAAGATTTCAGGGCTGGCCTCAGAGAGTCATTGAATAAAATCAAATCATGATCAATACCCCCAATTTATAGATGAGGAAACTGATCCGATGGGTCAAAATTCACAGCATTAGTTAAGGGCAGAGCCAGAAGGAAACTCAGCCCTCCTGACTCTTTTGTTATGTGATCATTCCACCCCACAGTGCTGCTGACCCTCTTTTAAAGTTAGGGCACACAGTAGGAACATTTCAATAGGTACAATCAGTAACGTTTAAAGGGTGGATTGAGGAACTATGGCATGGGAAATTCAGATATTTGGCCAATGCCTGCTTGGGCTGTAGATCACAGAGAAGAGGAATGACTGGTGATAAGGCCGTGGGTGGTAATGGGTGAAATGACCAAATGGGGCTGTCTTCAAGGAACCAGCTTCCCTCTATTGCCCTCTTCTGCCCTTAATACATGCCCTCTGACCTCAAACCACGCCACAAGATGGGTGCTATGTCTCCAGGCATCATATCTACATTCCACGGTAAAAGAAGGGGAGGAGCAAAACCCTTTAGAGAAGTCTTGCCTTTCTACTCAAGAAGGAAGTCCTCCTCTGAAATTCCAGCCTAAATTCCTTTGGCCAGATCTGTGTAACTTGGCCACTGCTTGCAGCCACGGAGGCTAGGAATTTGAGTTTTTGCTTTCCAGTTTTATGAAGCAAAAGGCAGAGGAAAGTGATTTGAATGGGTGTTGAGTGAACCCACTTAAGAGTATGTGCACAAATAACCTACATAATCACTCTGCTCAATTACCTGCTGATGAAGCACAGGTTGCTAGCCTAGCCTAGAGGGATCTTATCTTCAGCAAAAGTTAGTTTTTTTGTTTTTTTTGGCTGTTACTCAATATGCGCTTTCCTATCAAGCCTTCACACTTTTGTTCAAGCTTTACATGCTAAGGGGCTGTAGTTAGACTCCTATAAGCAATGGGCATTGAAGGATTTATGGAAAGAGAGTGACATGAACAGATACGGGTTTCCGAAAGACAGCCCTGGAGAGGGAGTGACCAGGCAGGAGTGGCGAGTTCAGTTAGGAGGTTGTTGCAGGGGCTGGTGAGGGCCTGCAGTGACAGAGTGGGGATGGAGAGAAGAGGTGGATGAGAGGGTTGTTAAACAGATAAGAGACAGGGCGTGGACACTGATGGGGCTAAGTTCAAAGAGATTATATGGTTTGCCTAGTGTTTCACAGCTATGAGACAGTAGACCTGAATTCAAACCTAGACCTCCTGATTACAGGTCCAAGAGAAGACCACGTGTCTCCTGGCTTTCTCTCTTGGTACTGGCATTCCCAGCAGGCCTCTCTAAATCACCACTGCGGCGGCCATGAGCCTGTGCCTCACAGACCTGCAACTACAGGAGGCCTAAATGGCCAATGGGCTCAAACACAGCGATGACTGTGAGGATGGAGCAGGACCGAGAAGTGTTTCCTTCTGTTGTACACAGGGTCGTTATGCACTGGAACCAACTCAATGGCATCTAACAACAACAACAATTGGCCAAGGGCCAGCTTCCCATGGGCTGTTCCCAGCCAGTACCTGAGTGCTGCACGGATACTAAGGAGCCCCATTCCTAGGAGTCAGGGCTCCTCTCTGGTGGCTGACCTCCTCTTGCTGAACCTTCCTTAGACTACACAGCACTCTAGGATGCTTCCACCCAACCTGGCTTCCCTGTCTCCCTCCCTTGGGGTCAGACTTGTACCTTGACCTGTGGGCTCACCCAGCCTTTCCCAGTTCCCTCCTCATTTTCTCTCACAGACATTTTCCTTAATAAAAAGTATGCATGTTTAATTCTGTCTTGGAGGACCAGGTAAAGCAGCTACCTTATAAGAACTGATTTCAGAAATCAGTTTACAGCTCTCTGATGCTCTATGATTTTGTCTGCATTTGTTATGCAATGGAGAAACTCGGCTTTTATAGTGCCTGGCCTACTGTGATTCAATTAGCTTTCACTGTTTTTTTTTTCTTACATGAGTGATAAATTTTCACTCTAAACATGGAAAGAGCTAAGAGATGTACACAATATATATTTTAGACAGTAAACTCTACAGCTGTGGAGTTGATTCCAACCCATAGCGACCCTATTGGATGGAGTAGAACTGCCCTATAGGGTTTCCAAGGCTGTATTTTTTTTTTTATATATATATTTTATTGTATTTCAGGTGAAGCCTTACAGAACAAATAGTTTCTCATGAAACAGTAGTACACATGTTGTTTTATGACATTGGTTAACAACCCCACAACATATTAACCCTCTAAATTCTCAACCTTTTTTTTTTTTGGTGAAAATACACGTAGCCAAAGATACACCGTTTCAAAAATTTCTACATACACAGTTCAGTGACATTGACTACGCTCTTCCAATCGTGCTGTTATTCTCATTTAAGATGAAGGCTTACAGAACAAAAAAGTTTCCATTTAATAGTTACTACAAATGTTGCTCTATGAAAATGGTTAACAATCTCACAACACATCAACAATATCCTTACTCAACCTTGGGTTCCCTATCACCAGCTTCCTTGTCCCCTTCTGCCTTCTGGCCCTTGTCACTGGACTCCTGTACCTCGTTAGTCTCATTTGGTTTTACGGGGCTGTCCACTCCCAGGCTGAACAGTGAACCTCAAAGGTAACTTCACCACTGAGCTAAAAGGGTGTCTGGGGGCCATACTCTCGAGGTTTCTCCAGTCTCCTTTAGGCCAGTAAATCTGGTCTTTTTTTTGTGAGTTAGAATTATGTTCTACATCCTTCTCCAGCTCTGTCCAGAACCCTCTGTTGTGATCCTGGTCAGAGCAGTCAGTGGTGGTAGCCGGGCACCATCTAGCTGTACTGGACTCAGTCCGGTGGAGGCCTTGGTAGCTGTGGACAATTAGTCCTTTGGACTAATCTTTTTCTTGTATCCTGTTCTCTTCATTCTCCCTTGCTCCCGAAGGGATGAGACCAGTGGAGTATCTTAGATGGCCGCTCACAGGCTTTTAAGACCCCAGACACTACTCAGCAAGGTAGAATGTAGAGCATTGTCTTTATAAGCTGTGTCATGCCAATTGAGCTAGATGTTCCCCGAGACCATGGTCCCCACAGCCAAGGCTGTAATTTTTATGGGAACAGACTCCCACATCTTTCTCCCACAGGGCAGCTGGTGGGTTCCAACTGCCCACCTTTTGGTTAGCTGCAGAGTGTTTTAACCACAGCGCCACCAGGGCTCCTTTCGATAGTAAAAGACTCCCCGAATCTTTACCCTTCACCGATCCTGGACATGGTGCAATTTAAAAAGCTGTTCTTCTACGCCATGGCCCTCAGTGTCTTTTGGTGCAATGGCACCGTGAACACTCGTGGCCAAGCGTTTTCCTAGGAAACCTCTGACATCCCGAGAAGCATTTACTGAACAGCCGCTGAAGCACAGAGCAGCCAGCTTCTCAGCTCACTCTGAAAACTTCTCCCTGGCTGGCCTCCTCGTTGTTCAGATTTTGGGGCCAAAGTTCAGATTTTGGGGCCAGAGCCTTCACGTTAGATGAAATGCCCTCTCAAACAAAAAAGGATTTCTTTGGGAAAATGAGTGCAAAATCCAATGTGGAAACTGTAAATGCTGGCTTTCTTACTCTCAATATTGTAATCAAAATGTAAACTTTTCATAAGCAGAGACACAATCTGAGCATTATCAGGAAATCTAAATATTTTCACCAGCCAAGAAGAAAAATGTCCACTTAAAACACTAAAATCCTCTTCTCTTTGGCTACTTTGAAAAACTTGTAAACTAGCTTCAAACCAGGGCTTCTAACTGGTTCAGCCCAGCTCAGTCATGGCCCACGAAGAGACACAGGAAGGGACTCAAATTTTTAAAATGTGGGGAACTGCAATGCTAACTAGAACGGGAAAAGTTACGGGTTGAAGTCCTGCTTCAAACTTGTTAAAAACCCACTTTTGTCCTGAACTAACTGCTCAGATGAATTCTGAAATAGGCAACGTGAAGAAAAACAAAAAAATCCCCAACCAAACCCGTTGCCTTGATTCCAACTCATAGTGACCCTGTAGGACAGAGCAGAACTGCCCCACAGGGTTTCCAACCAACAGCTCCGTAGATTCCAACTGCCAATCTTTTGGTTAGCTCTCGACCAAGCGCAGGGCTCCTGAAGAACAAAGCAACATCTAAAAAGTAAACCTTCTCTCTCCCCAGCTAGAAGTTTCATTTAAAAGTATCAGACAATCTTACTTCAGAGCAGTGAGCGGAAGACGTCCTGCAGATTCCTCCACAGGCGACAAACTTGAGACGTTTGTGCAGAAGCAAGTCGGGTGCTTAATAGTGCATGCTGGGATTTGTAGTTCAAGTGCCTTCATGCCTGCTTAGTTTCGCTACCTTCAGTTTTTTAAAAAGAAGCCGCATGATTTCTGTACTTTATTTGCGCATTCTGCCATCTAGTGGAGCTCAGGCAGAATTGCTAACTCTAAGTAGAAGGTAAGTCGTGGAACCAAACCAAACCAAGCCAGTTGTGGTGGAGTGGATTCCTACTCATGGCGACCCCATGTGTGTCAGAGCAGAACTGTGCTTCACAGGGTTTTCAGTGACTGATTTTTCAGAAGTATATCGCCAGGCCATTCTTCTGAGGCGTCTCTGGGTGGACTCAAACCTCTGCTGAACACACTAACTGTTTGCACGAACAAAACCAAAACCTGTTTCCATCAAGTAGATTCCAACTCATAGCGACCCAAAAGGACAGAGGAGAACTGCCCTATAGGGTTCACAGCTACCCCATGTGACAGAGTAGAACTTCCTCATAGGGTCACTGGAACCCACCAGCAGCTCTGCAAGAGAAATATGTGGCAGTTGCTTCTGTAAAGATTACAGCCTTGGAAACCCTATACCACAGTTTACCCATTCGTCTGTTGATAGGTTGTTTCCATCTTAATGCTATTGTGAATAATGCTTCAATGAACATGGGTGTGCATATGTCTATTCATGTGACTGCTCTTATTTCTCTCAGATATATTCCTAGGAGTGGGACTGCTGGATCGTATGATATTTCTATCTCTAGCGTTTTAAGGAAGCGCCATATTGTTTTCCAAAATGGTTGTACCATTTTGCATTCCTACCAGCAGTGCCTAAGAGTTCCAATCTCCCTGAAACCTTTACAACATTTGTTATTTTCTGTTTGTTTGTTTTTTTAATTTTTATTTGTGCCAATAATGTCCGGGTGAGATGGTATCTCATTGTAGTTTTGATCTGCATTTCTCCAGTGGCTAGTGATCACGAGCATTTCCTCATGTGTCTGTTAGCCACCTGAATATCTTCTTTAGTGAAGTGTCTGTTCATTTCCTTTGCCCATTTTTTAATTGGATTATTTGTCTTTTTGTTGCAGAGTTACTGGATTTTCCTATAGATTTTAGAGATAAGACTTTTGTCTGATACGTCACAGCCAATTTTTTTTTTCCCAGTCTGTAGGATCTCTTTTTACTCTTTTGGTGAAGTCTTTTGATGAGCATACGTGTTTAATTTTTAGAAGATCCCAGTTATCTAGCTTAACTTCTGATGTTTGTGTATTCTTAGTCATGGTTTGTATCCTGTTTATGCCGTATATTAGGGACCCTAGTGTTGATCCTATTTTTTCTTCCATGATCTTTAGGTCGTTGATCCATTTTGAATTAGTTTTTGTGTATGGTGTGAGGTATGGGTCCTGTTTCATTTTTTTACAGATGGACATCCAGTTTTGCCAGCACCATTTGTTAAAAAGACTGTCTTTTCCCCACTAAATGGACTTTGGGCCTTTGTCGAAGATCAGGTGACTGTAGGTGGATGGATTTACATCTGGGTTCTCGAGTCTTTTCCATTGGTCCATGTGTCTGTCGTACCAGTACCAAGCTGTTTTGACTACCATAGCTATATAGTAGTTTCTGAGGTCAGGTAGTGCGAGTTCTTCTACTTTTTTCTTCTTCAATAGTGCTTTACTTATCTGAGGACTTTTTCCTCTCCGGATAAAGTTAATGATGAGTTTTTCCATCTCTTTAAAGAATGCTGCTGGTATTGGGATTGGAATTGCATTGTATTTGTAGACTGCTTTGGGCAGAATTGACATTTTCACAATGTTGAGTCTACCTATCCATGAGCATGGTGTGTTTTTCCATTATGTAGGTCTCTTATGGTTTCTTGCACTAGTGTTTTGTAGTTTTCTTTGTATAGGTTTTTTACATCGCTGGTTAGGTTTATTTCTAAGTATTTTTTTTTTAGGGGCTATTATTAATGGTATTGTTTTTCTGATTTCCTTTTTGTAGTTCTCTTTATTGGTGTATAGGAAACCAACTGTTTTTTGTATGTTTATCTTGTAGCCTGTTACTCTGTTGAATCTATTAGTTCCAGCAGTTTCCTTGTGGAGTCTTCAGGGTTCTCTATGTATAGTATCATATCTCCTGCAGATTGGGACAGTTTTACTTCTTCCTTACCAATTTAGATGCCCTTTATTTCTTTTTCTTGTCTTATAGCTCTAGCTAGGACTTCCAGCACAATGTTAAATAGGAGTGTTGATCTAGAGTTTTTCGAGTGAGGAAAAGAAAATTTTCTTGTGTTTAAGGTACAATTATTGTTGTTACTTTGTCACGCTCAGCCTGCTCTAACCCTAATACACATTTAGTGGCAGAATGCAGCCATCAGGACTACACTGGGGAGTGTGGTGAGGATGGGGAAATGTGGAGCTTGAACCAAAAGTGTGGAGGCTTGAAAAGGAAGGAACACTTTGGGTAACAGGTCAAGTTTGGATGAAGGGAATGGAGATAAGCTCTAAAAGAAAAATCTTAAGTTTTGCAGAAGAGACCAGAGATAAGATCAAAAAGAAAGAACTAGATTATATGAGCCCTCTAGGCTAAGTTAGCAACCTGTAGATCATTAGATGGGTAATTGAGCAGAGTGATTGGGTAGGTTTTTTGTGCACATACTCTAAGTGGGTTCACTCAACACCCATTCAAATCACTTTCCCTCTGCCTTTCACTTCATAAAGGCTGGAAAGCAAAAACCCTCAATTTCCTAGCTTCCTTGTCTGCAAGGCATGGCTAGTAACACAGATTTGGACAATGGAGTGTAAGCTGGAATTCCTGAGGAAGGCTTCCTTCTTTCTCTAGAAGTCTTATGGCTTTTGCCCCTCCCCTTCTTTTTGCCTGGAATGCAAATATGATGCCTGGTGACATAGCAGCCATTTTGTGCCTTGGTATGAGGTCAGAAAGCACACACTAAAGACAGAGCAGGGCAATAGAAGGAACCTGGTTCCTTGAAGACAACCTTGAGGCACTAGCCCTGGACTAACTTCCCTGGATTTGTGTAAGATAAAATAAAGTCCTTTTTAAGACCACTATTTTTCAAGTTTTCTGTTACTTGAAGCTAGCATATTCCTAACAGTTATAGTGAACTCAGTCAGAAAGATTTGGATGAATTCCAGACCTTTCTCTCACTAGCTAAGAGAATAAGTCACTTAACTCTCTGATCTTGGCTTTCTCATATGTAAAATGAAGGTAACCATAGGACCTACCTCAGGAGTGTTGTAAGCAGGAAAGATTTGGCATGTGAAACCATCATACAATGTTTGACATGTATACACTCAATAAATGTTAGTGATATTATGGAAGTTATCAGACAAATGTACTAATATATGATTTAAAAAAATTTCTTTTTTTAACCTTTAGCTTAGTTTCTGCATATGTCCAAGTGAAGTTTTTGGTAAAATTGTCCCTTGTTGCCCCCTGCAGTTTAATGCTGGGTCTAAGGATCTGTAAGGAGCCTTGGTGGCACAGACGTTAAAGCACTCGGCTGCTAAATGAAACGTCAGTTCGAATCCACCAGCCTCTCCACAGGGGAATGATATGGCAGTCTGCTTTCATGAAGATTTACAGCCTTGGAAACCCGATGGGGATTTTGGTTTGGTAATAATCTGTAATCTCATCCTTGCTTTAATAACAAGGCCCTTCCTTTGAATTTTGATGATTTCAGAATAGACTTTTTATGAATATAAGCATTCTCTACTCCTTTCTTCCTTAATGCAGATTTCTTCAGCCTCACATGCTGACCAACTTCAACAATGCTTACTGGAAAACCGCCCAAGTCACATGGTATTGTGGATATTTGCTTGCCCATCCGAATAGGCACCAGACTACATTCTTCAAGCTAGCCATTTATCATCCTTCCCTCTGTAAGTTCCAAGAAGGCAGTGCCTTGTAGCGTCTAGACCAGTGACCAGCATGCAGTAAATGCTCATTAAATATTTGCTGAGCAGCTGGCTCTCAATAACATGTTTCCTATGAGAAATAATATCACAGTTTGTCTTCTCTAGTTGGAGCCCTGGTGGCGCAGTGGTTAAGAACTCGGCTGCTAACCAAAAGGTGGGCAGTTTGAATCCACTAGCCGCTCCTTGGAAACCCTATGGGGCAGTTCTACTCTGTCCTATAGGGTTGCTGTGAGTTGGAATTGACTCGACTGCAACAGGTTTGGTTTAGTCTCGAATTTACTTTTTTTGTGTGTGCTTTAGGTGAAAATTTACTGAGAAAATTAGTTTCTCATTGAAAAATGTATACACAAATTGTTTTTTGACATTGGTTGCAATCCCCACAATGTGTCAGCACTCTCCCCCTCTGAATTTACTTTTCAGGTCTTTTAAGCATCAACTGCCCATGCTACTGCTTTTTAAAAATACTCTTGGGTTCCATTGCTGGCTTTATCATTGTTCCTTCACAACCATTCATGATGCTGAAACTCAGCTCATGAGTTAAGCAACTTCTCTTATACTGGATACCTAAAGCTGATTACATTTTTAATGGCCTTAAAGTAGTTTTGTCATTCAGGGGAATTGATCAAGTAACTCTGGGTTACTCTTTAATTCAGAAGAGGAGCAGATATTGAATGAATCAGACCTGCAGCTGTTATAGTGTGACGTTTAGGCAAGGCTGGAAAGGAGAAGCAAAACCAAGGAGCAGGCCTTAACCCTAGTGAATTCCTGTGATAGTATGTTAGGCAAAAGGAAAATATCCAATCCAGAGATTTGGAATGATGGGTACTATGCAATCCATAATCTCTTCCTTCGAATGACTCTTCTTACCAAAGAGCCAAGGATGCTATCTTAGGTTGGGTTCTCTAGAGAAGCAAAGCCAGTAAAGCGTATAAATATATATACAGAGAGATTTACATCAAGGAAATGGCTCATGTGATTGTAGAGGCTGGAATGTCCCAAGTCCGTGGATCAGAATAGAGGCTTCTCCTGATTCACGTAGCCGCAGGGGCGGGCGAACCCAAGAT